CCTTAGCTAGAAATTTAGCTACTCATGCAAAATGAAGAAATACAAGAAGAAATTAAGATAGAATGCATAATAGTTGATTAGGGAAAGAAAATCAAATGTTTAGAAGCTAATCTAGTACAATATTACTCAAAACAGTAAAGAAAAACGGCTCAGGTGCTCTCCCAAAACAAAACTTGCCCTAAAAATGACAAAAAGTTCTATTTATACTAAGCTGAAAATATCTGACAAAAATGCCCCTGTGGAGGTTGTGCGGCCGTATAATTCTGAGTGCGCTTCGCACTCTGAGCTTGACTGGTCAACTGGGCCTTCTGCGGTTGCATAAAAGTGGGATGCGACCGCACTTTATCTAATTATGCGAACTGCACATTTCTGAGTGCGGCCGCACACTTGACTTGGGCCTTCTTCTGCGGATTGCATACTTATGAATGTGGCCGCACCTTTGAATCCCGCGGTCGCACAATAATAGTGCGATCCGCATAGCTTCAATCAAGGCTCTCTGATTCTGGTCATTTGCGGGCCGCATAATAGTGAGTGCGGCCGCACAATAATGGTGCAGTCCGCATTTCTTCAGCTTGCCCAAAATTCCAACTCTCTGCATCTCTCTTCTGTAGCCGCACCAAAATTATACGGTCCGCATACTATGAAGCTAATCTGACAGGGCTTATTCATTGTGTGCAGCCGCACACAGTATTGTGAGGTCCGCACTGTAAGCATTTTTGCCTTATTTTGGTCTTTGTCCAATTTTGACTTTTTTTTGAGTTAATTTTTACTTTTTCGGCTCGTTTCCCAATATTCCTGTAAGAAAGCTCATTTCATTAGTTCTCGAGAATACCTTTAAGCATTTTTGAGCTAAAACGCAAGTGAAAGAGAATAAATAAGCGGTCAAAATCCATATTTATTAACTCCCCCAAACTTAAGCTTTTGCTTGTCCTCAAGCAATTAAGGCAATTCCCATCTCTACTAGAAAAATGGATATTTCAGCTGGCCTAAGATGAATCAATCACACATCAATTGGGACCAACAATTACCGACAACACGCATGAATTATCAACAATGCAATGATTTGACCTTTTGAGTACAATAGTTCTAATGTGACACTAGAGCATCAAGAGTTGACTTTATTCATCAAGGAAGCTCGCTCTTTCATTTAGGTCATTGTGGATTCCAAACTCCTCCTCCTCTACTCTCCATTAACATATCTCACTTTAGAATGTAACACTCAATGCAAAAATTGTGAAAAGTTTGTTCATCTATCTCAAAAGAATGTCACAAGTCTAGTTCTAAGTACCATAAACTTGCTCCTCATGTAGATCACCACTAATGAAAGCTCGCTCGGCTTGAAATCACGTAGGGCTATTTCGACATGTAATGAAGGCTTTTGGACTAGGGAGGGAAATATCGGAATGGAATTGGTTCAGCTTCTCTTTAGCACTGCATATTCTCTTTTTGGCTCATACTTTGTCGTCTCTTTGAGTCAATTCCTTTTTCCTCAGGGGAACTAGAGAGATGTAATGTCACTCTTTCTTGGTAATGACATTCATTTTTCTCCTTTTCTATTTACTCCATGCCTTTCATCATTGTTTTCTTTGAATCCCTTCAACTTTCTACCTTATTCACTTTCTTTTTGGCATTTTTCTTTTTATTCTTTCTTTCTTTTCTTTTCCTTCTCTTTTCTTCCTTTCTCTTCTTGGTACCTTTTATTTTCACTTTCAAACTCTTCGTCTCTCCCCCAAACTTATATTTTTGACAATTATTTCTCAAGAATGCTAAGGAAAGATTGGGTGCCATAAAGGCTTGTAACGTGGTTATTGAAATAAAGAAGGCTTAGGCTCAAATGGGTTGACTAGGGATATCACATTGGTAGGCTATGGTTGATTTCAAACTTCAAATCGGATCAAGGAGAGCCTACAATCATTTCTCAAGCCAAGCTACACTTAGAATTTCGCCTAAAAAAACATTCGGGGCAAGTTCTAGACTATTAGCACGGGAACTTGGACTTGCAATTCAATACATCCCCTTTCACGCTGCTGGATTGCTAAAGAGAATGGAGTCGAGGGCCCACAACAACCCTAGTTAAGGTTGAGAATCACAAATGGCTCGGCTGAACCACTCGACTGTTTAAGTCAACACAAGAGTCAAAAAGTCAGAACTAGAGCTATTTTATGCTAACAACTCTGTTTTTAACAATAAGGTCGGAGGTAAATATGTTGGTACCAAGTGAAGCATGCTTGAGACTTTTTTATTCATTACTACTATATTTGCCTAAACATAAAAGAAAATGGACTCAATCCCTTAAGAAGGTTGTCACGTCATCCATCGTTTGGGAAGAGCCACCCGGTTCACACAAAACCCACCTTTGGAAAGAACCATGGCATTAAGAAAACCAAAGGCTTATTGATCACTCAGACATAAAAAAAAGCTAACAAATCAAAAAGAAATTATTAAAGTAAATAAGAAGTTATACTACTAAGAAAGACAAAGTAAAGAAGCTATGAAATAAACTACGGAAAGCAAGATAAATGAATATACAAACCGAAGTAAAATGAATATATACATAATAGAGACTGAATATATACACCAAACGAAGGGGGAGAATATATACATACCAAAGAGAAAATAAAGATAAAGGAAAAATAGTATAAGAGTTATTACAGGCCACATGTCAATCAATCAAAATAGACCACCCCCGAATAAAAATAAGCATTGTCCCCAATGCTTAATAAAAATAAAAACAAGGAAGGCTAGAGAGTTAAGATAACTCCCTATGTGATCTCAGTCTGCATGGGATCCGCAACACCCTCTGTCTCCTCTAGCTGTATCTCATCATCACCTGGCTGAGGGACAACAGGGTTTTTGAGCATCTGGATCATCTCCTCAGCGGTGTGGGCAGTCGCAACCGGCTCCTCAGATTGGCCGACTGCTATATGTGATGCCTCTAGTACTGCTGGTGCTGAAGGTGCTCCCTCCATAAGTAAGTCCAGTGGTAGATCTCTCGCAGATGCAATTTTGGCAACCACTTTCCTCAACTTGTCCACTGATCTCTTCGATGCCTGAGAGCATCTTCTTTGTTTGCTTTCCCAACTCCTCAATGACCTCCCCATGTGCCACTAGAGTCTCCATAATAGTCTTCTGGTTGTCCAGAATCTTCTTCAATGTTTCCTTCACTGACAGAGGTACCTTTGGTGCTGCTGGGGCTGCTGACTGAACAACACTGGATATGTCAGGCAGCTTTGAAGTAGCTGCCTGCATCTAGTTGTTGAGACTCGCAGCGCAGTCTGTGGATAAGTGGATAAAGCTGGCACTGATAATGGCACTGAGAATGAAGCTGGTGGTATAGAAGACGACAGTGGTGGCATGGGTGTTATCCCGATGGAAGGACCGACCATCATACACCGTTGAAAAGTCGCTGGTGCATTACATAACCCAAATGGCATCCTCAAGAATGTAAAGGTACCATATGGACAAGTGAAATTAGTCTTCTCTTGGTCCTCAGGAGCAATAAGAATCTGGTTGTAGCCGGAGTATCCATCCAGGAAGCAATAAAAAGCACGTCCGGCCAATCTATCCAACATTTGATCAAGAAATGGAAGCGGAAAATGATCTTTCCGAGTGACTTTGTTGAGCTTCCTATAGTCCATGCACACTCTCCACCCGGTAACAGATCTTGTGGGGATCAATTCATTCTTGTCATTTGTTATCACAGTCATGCTCCCTTTCTTTGGGACACATTGCACCGGAGAAGTCCATGAGCTATCGGAAATTGGCTAAACAACCTCGGCATCCAACCACTTTATGATCTCATTATTGACCACCTCTTGTATTACTTCATTTAGCCTCCTTTGATGTTCAACGGAGGGTTTGGCACCCTCCTCCAATATAATCTTGTGCATGCAAAAGGCGTGGCTTATGCCCCAGATATCTGCCAAGGTCTATCTGATTACTCTTTTCCTCCTTTGTAGCACCTCCAATGTGGACTCTACCTGCATGCTAGTCAAACAAGAAGAAAGGATAACCGGTAAAGTAGAAGAAGGGCCAAGTAATTCATACCTAAGATGCGGAGGCAATGACTTTAACTCCAAAGTGGGAGGCTCCTCGATTGAGGGCTTTGTTGGAGAATTCTTCCGGTTGTCAATATCCAAAGATAGCTTGCGGGCCTCATAAGTGTACGACCCCATTCCTTGCAATGCATTGACACACTCCACATAGCCTTCTTTCTCCTCATCATCATCAAAGTTGAGCAATACGGCTTTCAAATTATCCTTAACATTCATTGTGGCATTAGCATCATCAACAATTACTTCGGTCACTAAACCCACGAATGAACAAACTTCGTTGCTATTTGGCTGCCTCATCGATTTGCACACACGGAAAATTACCTTTTCGTCACCCACTTGGAAAGTGAGCTCACCGGCTTCCACATCAACAAGAGCCTTCCCCGTAGCAAGGAAATGTCTACCCAAGATAATAGGCACCTCGTAGTCAACCTCACAATCAAGGATCACAAAGTCTGCTGGAATGGAGTGCTTGTTAAAACAACTAAGCAAAACAAAGACTTTTAACCGAAGGGGTCGTTTGGTATGATGGATAAGCAAAAATAATCCTGATATAAAAATTTAGTATCTCCTTATCCCTTATTTGGTTACTAATTTTAGGATAAGATATCCCAGGATTAAAAATAGTACATGAATAACTTATAACTGTCAGATGATGGAATACTAATCCCAGGACAAGTTATCCCAGGATAAAAAAATAATATCAGGATAACTAAAGCATAACTAATGATAGTATAACTAATTCCAGCATAAATAATCTCAACATAACTTGTCTACAGTCCAAAGGACCCCTAATAGTATTTGCGGGTGTAGATTCAAAATTTTACAATCACCTTCCTTGGTCTTTCAAATTAATAGAATATCTTGTTTTTTGGGGGGGAAAATGTTACTATTACAATATTCAATGGTTGATCACATTGGATATCCTGAATTTTCTTGTGTATTTAGTTTCACAGAGTTTCCAAGCCGAAGGGACAATTGATGGCAAATTTGACTGTGGTTATTTGGTGTCCATCAAAATGGGATCTGAGGTTCTCAATGGAGTACTTTACCATCCAAACCAACCTGCTGCTCCCTCTTCTTCTAAATCAACTGCACAAAATTGCAGTGCAATTGTACCTTACAATCCACCACCTCACCACCACTCGGGACGGAGGAACAGGAGGAGGAAGGGAGGAGATCCAAATCGCCCGAAACCTAATAGGAGTGGATACAACTTCTTCTTTGCTGAAAAACATTCCATGCTCAAATCTCTCTATCCAAGTAGAGAGAGGGAATTCACAAAGATGATAGGAGAATCTTGGAACAATCTCTCTCCCGAAGAAAAAAGGGTAAGCATACTCAAACTCGATCATTAGAGAAACTAAAATTTTATAATATTGGACTCAAACGTGCTTAAATGAAGTGACATGGACAATGAGAATTCATATAGCCGACTCCAATTTCCTTGGAATTTTCACTACCTAGGAGCATTGAGAGAGTTTGATGCTGATTGTTAGTTTATACAGGTATATCAAGACTATGGGGTGAAAGACAAGGAGAGGTACCAGAAGGAGATGAAAGAGTATAAGGAAAGAATGCAGATTACATCTTGCTACTAAAGGTAGAAAAGAAGCAAGGTATACTTCATTTTGCATGAAGAGATCAACATGTAAATTTTGCATTCCAACGTAGTTCAAAAGTGCAGCTTTTCCGTGGATCAAACATTGTTATAGCTGTGATGTAAACTAGTCCAGTACTATTTTGAAAAATGCAGCTTTTTGCATGTGTTTTCCTAGACTAACCTCATGCTTATAAGATGATCTTGTTTATCAAACTTGAGGCATCATAAAATTCTAAAGTTCTACAACTTATAGCAAAAATAGATCTTTTTTAGCATTAGGATGCCACCTGATGTCCACATTTTGACACTTATATAAAAGAAAATGGAGTCTTTTATATATCCACAAAAGATTATTAAACTCACAAATGACAAATGTAGCTGTAGGTAGTCTAAACTATTAATCATTATTCAACCCATAGATGGGGATGTAGTTAGTCTAATTGGAGAAAATAAAACTCTCAACATCACAAACAACAGAACAATACAATCCATGAAAACAAACGATTTCAACAAGCCTTAGGAGGGAGGGGGTGAGGTCTGCATATCAACTACCTTCTTCCACGATTCTCGGCTAGATATCTCATCCCACCACCTTCCCACGTTCTTTCTTGCAGTGAAGAGCTCTGCTCTGTCTGTCCCGTTCACCAAATATTGGATGTTTGGAAGGTGAGAGAGATCAGCCAATGTGAATGCATCTCCGGCCAAGTACTGACTCTCTCCGAGCCTCTTTTCATACACATCAAGCACTTTTTTGAGCTTCTCTTCATTCTGTCTGATCAAGTTCTCGTCTTGTTTGATCTTCATTCGCGGTGCAAAAGCCAATTGGAATACGAGAATTGAACTTGGCGGATTGAAGCTTTGTCCTTCTGCTTCTATCCATTGATCTATAGATGCTTTCTCTAACGGGTTTGTTCCGTACAGCCCCTTATTTCCTTGATGTCCATATTTGTCACATATGTACCTATTTATAGATCTGGATTCTGGGTTTACCAAACACAAGACAGAAAACAATGTAAAAAATAAACTCCATAACATTATAATCATCGTCAATACTTTATAAGACCTTAATTCTATATTAATAAACATCATGAACAGCAATTAAGACCCAAATTCCACACTAGCATAAGCATCTTGAGCAACAACGAAAGAACTAAATTCCATATATAAGCGTTATAAAACAGTGTAAATACCCAAATTTGCATACTAGTATGTGTAAGCATCATGAACAACAATGGAAGACTGGGCCATTCATACTAGTATAAGCTATATAGGATAACCATCATCAAGTAGTATCATGTTTTGGAAAGTAAACCCAAATTTCTTGTTGACTTGGGCATTATAGGTTTTGATGATCTGACAAAGGAACACATGCATGAACCCCAGTATACAGATTATAGTTGTAAACAAGCAAAAGGTATGCACGTGAAAGGGAGAAGTATAAGTGGTTATTTCTGATAAACCCTAAACCAAAAGATTGCATATGTGATAAGGAGCAAGACTTCTTATTTGAAGAGAACTTTACCCAAAATAAGGAAAGGGTAAGAGGTTAAAGTTAACTAGAACTCTTCCACCAAGGAAGTGTAAGACAATAGGCTTTTATTTACTAACTCCATATACATAAGTGATGTTCTCTTTTACGAACACATACGAAAGCAAACCAAGAATTGAAAGCAACAGAAGTGGTGTTATCTTTTACGATCACATACTGAAGCAAACCAAGAATTGAAAGCAAAATAGCAAGGCATTTTGTGATCAATTCTTGTGAGATTCTAGGGTGCGATCCTTAAGCTACACGAACCAGATTGAAGAATCAGTTTCGTAAAGAGTTGTGTCTGTCTTTATTTCTAGTTCAAAGTGTAGTAGGTGTTTCAAGTTGTACCTTTCAGCTTTCTTTAGAAGCAAGTGTACTAGGTACTTGAGTTGTTACATTCGAGTTAGAATTAACTTGAAGTAGACGCAACAACCTCCGGTGTGTTGCTACAAGGTTAGAGTTTAATCCTTGGGTTTGCAAGAGTTTTATAAACTTTGTTTTAACTTAGTGTTTAGTGAGTTTAATGAAGTGTTTGGGAAAAATCCTACAGGGTAATAGATAGCGATTTTTTCACCTTTTGAGCGGGGTATTTTTCACGTAAAAATCATTGTGTTCTTTACTTTCTGCATTACTTTATTCCGCAATTGTAGTATAAGAAATACATAGAAAAATCAGGTTCTTCAATGCGAAAATTGGATACAACACAAATCACCACTCTTGTGTCGTACTGAAGTATAAAACATTATTGCTTATTAGCAGGGCCGGCTCTAATGTGACGAGGGGTAAGGCATGTGCCTTAGGCCCCCAAATTTGGGGGGCCCCATTTTAAAAAAAAGGTTTATAGGTATTTAAAAAATAATATTTAGTACTTTTTAATACAAAATTAGAGTTTTTAATATAAAAGAAAATAGAGCTCTTTAGGTACGTAAATAAAGTAATAATTTGACATATTTAAAAATGGATAGATGAATAGTTTTCGCAACGTTTCAGTTTTACTCCTTCATTAGATAATGTATACAAAAATTCACTCTCCCTTTCTTAATATGTCCAAGTCAATCTTTCTTTTCTCCAATCTCTTTATATTTCAGAAACCCCTATATATTTTCTGTCTTTCTCTTTAATATTCTTACTCACCTTCTTTCTCCAATATTTTACTACTCACTTTCTTTCTACAAGATTTCATTAGCTCCACTGTTCAACAATACTTTTAAGCTTCCAATAATTCTATACTTCTATTGTTCTATAAAATATTATCTAATATCAATAATATCTCAAGAAAAATTAAATGAGCTGACTATATTATCAATTGAATAAAGATAATTAGAGAAAATCGATTATAAAAAAGATTATTAACAACTTTGTATTTCAAAAAGTTAGAAGAATATATTTCAAATAAAACGTATATTATAATTATCTTTTAAAAATTTAGGTCACATATTAAACTTTGGCCTTAAGCCCGCATATCCTTGAGCCGCCCCTGCTTGTTAGAATAAGCATCATCAACAACAGTGTAAGACCCAAATTCCTTCTTAGTATAACCATACAAAAAGAACAAGACCCAAATTGTGCACCAGTACATACTACCATATAATCGAAGAATTCTTGGCAAATGCAGTTTAAAAATCCAAATTTTAGACTGGAACTACCAAAAGAATTTTCCACCCCTACTTCCAGGAGTGTATGCTGCAAGTTTGGGAGGACATGGGTATTTTAGAAAATGGGGAAGATAAAGGACTAGAAGTGTAATTACCAAACAGAGTGATGTTCTCGTCTTGAAAAGCTGGGACTTGTCCAAAGGGCTGTTTAAAATTAGGATAAAATAAGAGATAAATAGAGTAGACAAATTGTTTTAAGAAAAAAATGAGTCTAAACACTTACCTGAATTTTGAGATAGTCAGGTTTCTTGTGTTCCCCTTTGGCCATATTAACTGGGAGAAGCTGAAACTGGACATCTTTTTCAAGAAGACAAGCTAGAACTCTTGAAACTGCAGTTGACAAGGTCGGTCCATATACTTTCACTGGACTAGCCATCTGAAAAAGCTATAAAATCAAGAAAGTAGTGAGTTTTGTGAATTATGTTATGCTCTTATACTCTTCAGTGGGCTACATTCCTTGCACTTTATCCTTTTCTTTACGAGCGGGGACCACCAATTTTAATTTTTTAAAGCGATATAGGTGATAGGTCTGGTTACGCTAAAATATTAAGGTGATACCAGCGTTTTTATGCGTGGCCGTAAGGCTTACGGCGACCCGTTTTACATATGTCTCAGCGGGGCGTAAGCCCCAATTAATATTTATAAATATGTAAAATTATATAAAAATTGAAGAAAACTATATATATGTGTGCTCCATCCCCACACAAAACTAATCAAAATAATTTATTATACGTTATTTACAAGCACAAGTAATTTGAGTCTAAAAGAATAAAGTTTTCTATATGGAGGAACAAAAAAGATGATTAACCTGCAATTTGAACTTTGAGTTTGCTGCTATGAAAAAAAATGTAGTTCTCTTTCTATTTGTAAAAAAAATTAAATATTCGTTGCTTTTGGGAGATATTAGCAGACTAGTGGACAAGATAAAAATTTGGGAAAATCATGAATTAGTGCTTAAATCAATAAAAAAGGTCTTTAATTTTAAATTTATTACTTTTGAGTTCCTTTTTAAACCTTTTGAGTAATTATTAAAATGACTTTTGAGAATTTGGGTATTATATGAAAGACTAATTAACCAAATTTTATTTTAATTTGAAAAAGTCTCTGGGGCTTACTCCTTACTAAAACAATGCGCCCCGAACGTAAGGGCGTATGCCCCGAATGCCCGGACATACGCCTCTTGAGACTTTCGCCCCGGGGCGTTTTTGGTACGCCTCGTCCCAAAAACGCCTTTTAAAACAGAGGGTGATACAACTAACATTGTGGATTGTAAGTGCTCCTCGTGTCCATTTTGTCAAAGAAAGCTATAGTTAAACTTTGTGGCTCTGAGCTCACCACGGTAATTGTAATTTCGTATGCTAAAATCGACCAAGTCAATCGCTTAATATTTAGTAAAGGAATACCATCAACAACCTTTGTTAATTTTACCAACATTGTGAGGGAATGAATGAGATTTTTTCGTCTTTAATTAAAGGTATTGAATTGAGTCATGATTTCTTATTAGAAGGATTCCCCTTAAGTTAGCCTTGCGGCACAAATTTTAATTAATTAGGACAGTGAATACTCGCCCCAACAATATCTTATTACGATGATCTTATGGCCTTATAACATCTACTACTTACAATCAACTAGTGACAATGAGCTTGTGGCCTCTTGAACATCTAATTACAGTTCGGACTTATAAATTAGTAAAGGGTCTCAGGTTCATATTACAACATTTTCAACAGAAAAAAGACATCAAATTAACTATGTACACAACCATTGGCTATTAGTATTAGATTAGAAACAAAAATACTGGATCATTCACAGTTGGATTAATACTTTTCGGCCTACACCCTTCTTGAGCATTTGTGGAAAATTGCTCCAGCAACAAACCATCACAACCCTCTTGAATGATCTATAATGATTCTCAAATGTGTGACCTTTTCGATCAATTAAGCACAAAGTGTCCAGTTAGAGGGAGCTCTGCTTGAAGACAATGGTGGCAGGG